GAGAATGTTATGAATTGTAATGTAAATATCTGATATGCAGGATTGTATTTTCAGGGGTTGTGACCCACAGGTTGAGAACCGCTGGAGAAACATCAATGATGAGAGAGAAACGTCAATCATTGGTTGCCTCCTGCACGCCCCCTACTGAGCATCGAGCCTGCAATCCGGGCCTGTGCCCTGACCGGGAATTGAACCAGGATCTCCTGGCTCATAGGTCGACCCCAACCACTGAGCCACGCCGGCCGGGCTCAGATCTTCATTTTTAATTGTGGGACTTTTATGGCGGCTTCTCCAACTTCTTTGGATATATCCACCCCCAGAGGACATCTGCATCAGAGTCAGACAAATCACGTTACTGCAAACATTGGCTTCCTCCTCTGTCCCTCGTTCTACAGACTGTGTGCTTAGAATTCTAACAACATACATATCTAATTTATAATTAATCCCAGGTGGTGGTAGCTCTTAAATAAAAATAGGATCTCAAACCAGAATAATGGGTGAAGAAAGGCCAGTTCCATTAATAAATCTAAACGTGGAGACTTTTTAAAACCACTTTGAGGTATATTTGACATTTCTAAAAAGCTACACATATTTAATATATACAACCCAATGACATTGGGATTGAGATGTTTTGAAAGAAATAATTCTACACATCTCAAATACTGTAAATAAAAAACTTAAGTAGAAAAATAACAAAAAAAGTCTTATGATTCTCTATAAAGCTAAGAAGGCGAAATAGTTCACATGTAGCTGAAGGTAAACCTGCACCCCTTCCTACCCTACCCATCCCCCAGGTTCCCACTGCTTCCTCTCTGAGCGTCACCACCTGGCTGGCTCCTTGTCTGCCTTCCTCAGTCGCTACTGGCAGGAGAGGCCGAGATCCGACCCTCTTTCTTTGTTCTTCCTTAGTTCATAATTCTGGCTTCTGACTTCTGCTATTTCACTCTGTTACCCAACCTGGAGAAAGCCACCGTCTCCAGCGTCCACACTGCCCAGGGGAGGCACCACGGCATCAGACGGTGGATTCCACCAGAGGCTGGGCCATCGACATGGGGCGGGGCCGGGGGGGCGGTTCTGCCACCACCAGCTAAATCTGCTCATTTGTAATCAGCCCTGAGAGTCTGGTTCATGCAGCGACAGTGAAGGACTCCAACACGGAGAAGTTTAAAGCTTCAGATGAAACAACACAGACACAGAACTGTTAGGTCAGGAAACATAACCATCCTTCCCTGCATTTACGAGTCCAGGACTAACTGAGCCCAGAACTTGGTGACAGACGGGGAAACCGTGCTCCTCGCTGGAGCTCTGACCCGGGAGACAGAGGAAGGCGTGCAGAGCGCAGCTGCCTGGGCCGCGTCTCAGCTGCACGGGGAAGAGCACACTCGCAGCCCAGTCCCCACCAGGATGCCTGGTGCACATTTCCCTTCCGTTTCCCAGCATCCTCGCTGGTTCCGAGATGGATGTGACACTGCAAAAGGCAGCCAGGGACCTGGTTTCCACTGTTTCCAAACGAAGGAATCCATCACCCTTACCCATCACCTGTTCCTAACCTGTCATTTGTCAGATTTTTTGTAATTTGAAATTGTAGCAAACATAGTTCTTGTAAGGTATCTATCTGATAGGTTCATGAAAGAAATGAATGTAACCAGAAGATCAGTGAAAACCTCACATATAAAAGCAACACCCCGGCTTTGACTTTGATAATGCAACTAGCGTAAAGATAGGAATGGTGCTACCTACTTCGGTTCGTAGCGGACGCCTTCTGTGTCGTATAAGATGCCCACGCCAGCACGCAGTCTTTCAATCCCGTTCCTAAACCAGGATCATTTCACAGCGTGAGCAGCCCAGAGTTAAAGGAAGAAGGTGGAGCATAATGAAAGGGCGGTTCATATTGACCTTGTGCTGAGGGAGGCACGCGTGTCCCAGGGCTTACCACGCGATCATCACGCCGTTGTCCGTGCACAGTCTGGGAGGAGGACACAGCAGAGCGCACTGGGTGGCGTTTGTTACAAGTTCCAGAGCTTTTCGGATGTAGAAGTTGCTGGCAACTCCTCCAGACACAACCTGGAGGAACCGAGAAGACCAAGAGGAACAGGTGTCACGTACGGGTGTAAGCCAGGCTGGCAGCTAACCTGGGAACGGCAGCAGCATGCAATCAAACACCACGTCTGACAGATGGGTGACGGGCAGGTGAAACGTCTGCAGAATAACGATTTGAAGAAAAATACCACAAAACACTTCACATCAGTGTGTAATCGCTCCTCTCGTTTCTGTGTTCTTTTCCTCTGGCCTTTTTCTAAGGACAGTCAGAGTATAATACCTTACCAGTGGTCGGCAAACTCATCAGTCAGCAGAGCCAAATATCAACAGTACTTCTTCAAAACAGACTCGCCCAGGCCGAAAACCGACTTCTGCGCATGTGCCACGAAGTTTCAATCGCACTGTACGTGCATCCGCACCTGGTATTTTGTGGAAGAGCCACACTCAAGGGGCCAAAGAGCCACATGTGGCTCGCGAGCCGCGGTTTGCCGACCACGGCCTTAGACCCTGGAGTTTTTACTGATAAGCACTTTTTTCTTAAACAATCCTTTAAGAATGATCACCTTTGATATTCCAGTCTGTGCATCTACCGCCATCTAAATATCGTCTCACTTCCTAATTTTCAGAAAACTGCCTTTAAGACAGTTACCCGAGGTTTACCGAGGGAGTTCATCCAAGGAGCACAAGTGTTAAGGAAATCAGCCCATTTTCCTAAAAACCATGCCACCGGCTCCTGCCTTTCCTTCTAATCGTGGAGCCTCTGAAATGCACGAGCAGACGCCCGGGGCTTCCTGGGCACACGGCTGTGCACACATCCCCTAACGCTGCCGCCTGTACAGGGAAGGGACGTGGTCTTCACTCCGCACACTGCCCACGGCGGCGCTGGCTGCGGCCCAGAGCCCTTCCCTCAGGTGCTCAGGTGGCTGGGCCGCCCCCCACTTCCCCCCCAGAACAGCCTCAGCACAGAGGGCGCCGCTACTCCAGGGGGACAGGCTCACCAGGCGGGGCGCTCACCAGGGCGGCGTTGTGCGGAGGCAGCAGGCCTCGCTGCTGGCAGAACAGCAGGGCGCGGTGCGTGCGCTTGGCGAGGTGGCAGGCGGTGGTGTGCTGCACAGCGGCCGCGATGTCCGCAGCAGAGGCCAGGACCTGCCCCTGCTCCACGCCTGCAGACAGAGCACAGTCTGGGGTTACTCCCGTCCATCTTTCGTTACATTTTTGTTGTTAACCCTCACCCGAGGATATTTTTCCATCGATTTTCAGAGAGTGGGAGGGAGGGGGAGAGACAGAGAGAAACATGGATGCACATCGATTGGCTGTCTCCTGCAAGAGCCCTGACCAGGGCCTGGGCCCCTGCAACCGAGGTACATGCCCTTGACCAGAATCGAACCCAGGACCCTTTGGTCCCCAGACCAACACTCTATCCACAGGGCCAAACCTGCTAGGGCTGTCCACCTTTATTTATTAGAAATATACCTTCCTCTTTTTCCTTTTGTGTTATTATCTTATCGACAGCATGTTGAAGTCCAGTGAAAGAAAAATCACAGTTTTTAGCCCGATGCATGGGAGGTGTGAGGTCAAAACGCAGTCTATTTCCTTGTTTCGCCAGATGCTCGATGGCCTTCCCACCACTCATGGTGGCGCACTCCGGGTGTTTTGTTAAAGCCAGCCTTCTTGCCACCTGCCAGAAACAGATACAACATCTTACAACGAGCCAGAAAATTGCACGCTTTGAAACCAAGATGCAAAGGAAACAAAAACACACCAAACCTGGACGAATAAGACATGGTCTGCCTTTACAAACATGGGCGCCAGCTGGTCAGGGAGATGGCAAGGCCTGCCTTTCTGACAACCCGACCGACAGCGGCCGGCACTGCCTCCCCGTCCACTGTGGCTCTTCCACTGGGGATGGGAAACAGGCTGGAAGTTAAGAATGGCCACTTCGTCCATAAGAATCTGCCCGGCTGCTTCCCACCGTGCCAGCGGCTGGCAGCAGGGTCTCTGTAGGATCCTGCCACAGAGGAAGCAGCAGTCTGCGTGGTGGTAGTGCTGGTAATGGTGACATTTAACCACAGAACTCTGTGCGTCTCTAATGTCCTTATCTTTCTATAGCCTAACATTTCACGTTTTTAGAGTACTTGACACTTTACAAAACACCTTTCACATATATTGTCCTATTTGATGAAAAACATAACTGCAGGCAATGACGTACCATCTCACACCTGTCAGAATGGCTATCATCAACAAATCAACAAACGACAAGTGCTGGCGAGGTTGTGGAGAAAAAGGAACACTCGTGCACTGCTGGTGGGAATGCAGACTGGTGCAGCCACTATGGAAGACAGTATGGAGTTTCCTCAAAAAACTAAAAGTGGAACTCCCATTTGATTCAGTGATCCCACTTCTAGGAATAAATATATCCCAAGAAACCAGAAACACCAATCAGAAAGGATATATGCACCCCTATGTTCATAGCAGCACAATTCACCATAGCTAAGATCTGGAAACAGCCTAAGTGCCCATCAGGAGATGAGTGGATTAAAAAACTGTGGTACATCTACACCATGGAATACTGCGCTGCTGTAACAAAGAAGGAACTCTTATCATTTGCAACAGCGTGGATGGACCTGGAGAGCATTATGCTAAGCGAAATAAGCCAGTCGAAGAAAGATAAATATCACATGATCTCACTCATTTGTGGAATATAATGAATAACATAAACCAATGAACAAAAATAGACCCAGAGACAGAGAAGCATCAAACAGACCATCAAACCTCAGAGGGAAGACGGGAGGAGGGGGGGAGGGGGTAAGAGACCAACCAAAGGACTTGTCTGCATGCACATGAGCATAACCAATGGACACAGACACTAGGGGGGTGAGGGCATGTGCTGGGGGATGGGGGTGGCCGGAGAGAGGTCAGTGGGGGAAAAAGGAGACATATATAATACTATATGTAATACTCTAAGCAATAAAGAATTAAAAAAACAAAAAAAAACAACTGCATTTGCGAACTATGTGAGCCTTTATGGGCTGCTGTAAACCTCCTACATTTTATTTGAAATGGGGCAGAAAAGAATCTTTTGTAAACTAGGCACTACTTCTTCTGTTTGTCTTACCCTACACGTATTTTTTCGGTCTAATGGGATACCATTCAGAAATATTTAGATGAATGGTACTAGTGCAGCCATCACGCCTCAACTGACACGGACACCTTGACAGAAAATAAGGTAGAAATTAATCTGAGTTACCTTGTCAAGCATGTCCCCCGGCGCTATGTCCAGAGACTTTCCGAGAAGCAGGAAATCTGCAACTCCTCTGACTAAGGCCAACAGACAGTGGCCTCCAGAAATCAAGAGAACGAGAAAGGGAAATGCCACTTCATTGGTCAGCCTGATGGTGAGCGCGTGAGCTTCCATGTGGTGGATGGGGATGAAGGGCTTCTTCAGCTGGCCGACCAGCTGCAGGCTGAAGGACAGGCCCACGCCCAGGCTCAGGGCGAGGCCGGGCATGGTGGTGGTGGCCACGGCGGAGAGTTCGCTCGGAGGGACTCGACTGGCCGACAGCGCTTCTTGCACTATCCGCTGGATGTTTTCTCTGTGAAGCTGCTGAGCTACTGGTGGAATGATACCGCCCGTTCTGAAAGAGGTTTTTAAAAAAGCTTTTTGTAATTTTTAAGATTGTAAAAACGGGAAGAAAAATTGTATGTGAGAGCTGAAGGCATGTTTTCAAATCAATCATTAGATAGCTCACAAGGTCAGTCACCTATTTTCAAACGTGTCTTACGATGCAGCCGCTGGAACCCAAACGGCAGTGATTCGGGGTGTAGTGTCTCCGCACAAAATTTGTCGCTGAAGGAAATCGCCAAAATAAGCGCGAGAAGCACGCTAAGGAAGAACTCTCGGGCAAGGGAAGGACAAGATGAAACTGGACTTTGGAAAAATGGATCTCTCTGCAGGTAGGAAGATTTTAGAAGATGTTACAGTTGCCGCAGAAGGGTAAGGTGATTACATCTTAAACTGGGTGACTGTGGGGATGGAAAGAAAGGGACAGAGGCCTGGGCCACTGTAATCACGAAGTGGGTATCCGGGGAGGGAGGCCAAGGCATCGGAGGTGAGTCAGGTCGGGAGCTGGAATGACTGGGAGAAGAGAAAGACTGACGGAAACATGAAGCCCGTTTAGTGAAGGAGACGAGTTTATTTTTAGACCCTCTGCACTGGCAGCCACGGCAGGACAGTCGACAGCCTGCGATCCGAAATGAAGCTGGGAGTTTTGGTTTTGGGTCTGTGTGGGACAAGCAGTGGATGAGCATTCCGAACGTCAAGAGTAAAGAAGTAGGAGGTGAAGTTGCCGGCAAAACACGTGCCAGCATGTGGCAGAGAAGCACAGCCACTGAATACAAGATCTGCAACATGCACCCCAAATCTCAGAAAGAACACACCTTTAAATATGTGATGTTGAAGATCTGCTGGGTATATAAACAGAAATAAAAACCCTGCCCTGACCGGTTTGGCTCTGGATAGAGCGTCAGCCTGCAGACTGAGGGTCCCGGGTTCGATTCCGGTCAAGGGCACATGCCTGGGTTGCGGCTCGATCCCCAGTAGGGGGCGTGTAGGAGGCAGCCAATCAATGACTCTCTCTCATTATTGATGTTTCCATCTCTGTCTCCCTCTCCCTTCCTCTCTGAAAGCAATAAAAATAAAAAAAATGAAAATCCTCAGTAGGAGCGTGCAATGACCATTTAATAGTCAGCCCTTGAACAATGCAGGGCTCAGGGGTGCCAACCCCGTGCCGTCGAAAAGCCATGGATAACTTTGACTTCTCCAACACTTTCCTACTAAGGGCCTACTGTTGACTGGCTGCCTTGCTGATAACATGGGCAGTTAATTAACACATATTTGGTGTATGTATTACATACTGCATTCTTTTTTTTTCTGTTCATCAGATTATTTATTCACTTGATTTTTAGATTCACTTGTTGATAGATGTATATTTGCTGTTCATAATTTGTATCTTTACCTTTTTCTTCTTCTTCCTCTTCTTAAAGGATACCTTTCAGCATTTCATATAATACTGGTTTGGTGGTGGTGAACTCCTTTTAGCTTTTTCTTATCTGGGAAGCTCTTTATCTGACCTTCAATTCTGAATGATAGCTTTGCTGGGTAAAGTAATCTTGGTTGTAGGTTCTTGCTATCCATCACTTTAAATATTTCTTGCCACTCCCTTCTGGCCTGCATAGTTTCTGTTGAGAAATCAGCTGACAGTTGTATGGGTACTCCCTTGTATGTAATACATACTGCCTTCTTACAATAAAGGAAGCTAGAGAAAAGAAGTCGCTATGAAGAAAATCCTCCGGAAGAGAAGCTGCATTCAGTACTGTACTGCCGTCGTTGATACCATAAGTTCATACTGTCTGCTTACAAGATGAATCGCCTATCAGTGCCCACATCAATACTGCCTTATATGCTACAGAACATTGTAGATTGATACACAGCACTAACGCTGGGCACCCAAGTACTGGACACACGAGATAAATGGTATTTCATACGAAGGGCCAGGCTGGCACGGCTGCAGCGGCGGCCTCGCAAGCTTCCTTTCTGTTTATGATGGTCCCTCCGCTGGATTCCTGGGCCTTGGATTGGTAGCATGTCTAGATCCAGACCAAGCATGCCAGCTTTCCCTGTCAGGCCGAGACTGTCCTCTGCTCCTCACTCGCGGCACGTCGCACGGGTCCCAGGGTGCTACCCAGGGTTTAGGTGAGGAACCCGCAGAGGTCACATTGATTGGGATACACACTTTCCTGGGGATGAGCTGCTTATGGAGAGGCAATGAGAGCCACGCCGCGTTTTAAGCAGATGCTCACAACATCAGAGCTCACTGCAATAACGACAGGAAGGGGCTACAAAACTATGACAGGAGTATAGCACATACTACAGTGGATTCTACGTAGTTATGATTTCGTACCTCATCTTTCCGTTTGTTTACATTTCTCTCAACTGCACATGGCGCCATGAGCAGTAAGTATATGCATACGTTTTGACAAATTTTAATTTAGAACAGATTTGTGTATATTTTATGATAGTCAATGATAAAACAGACTAGTATCTACATATATTTTATACAGTCACGACATGACTTTTTCTTGTTTGTTTTTTTTTTAATATTTCTCAGCTATGTGATTCGGTTACAAGTTTTTTCAAATTGTTACAAATCTCCAAAAAAAAAAATGTTCCAATATATTTACTGAAAAAAAATCTATGCATAAGTGGACCTATGCCGTTCAAACCCATGTTGTCCAAGGGTCACTGTATACCATGTCTTAGAGACTAGGCCAAGTTTCCTGAGAGCAAGGACTTTTTGGTACTTCACTGTCCCTTTTACGTATCACATACACATGAGAGGGCTATCAGTACTTCTAATTATCATCTTCTATATTATTCCTATTATACTTCCCCCAACCCTATAAGGCAGTTAGCTTTCCCACTTTATGGCGTGATAAAAGAGGATAAGGAACGTGCCTAAAGTCAGCCAGTACCAAATGCCTAATTTATGATCCAAATACACGTCTGTGATCTCAAAGTATCAACCTTTTTCACTACTCAGATGTTGTTAAATTAGTGACTTCAAGGTGTTTTTGATCTGTACAGTACCTCAACACATTTTGAATTAGGACTAATTTTAAAAACCTGGAGATATTACAGTCACGTTTCTCTCGAGGAGTCTGATCCAACAGCACAGGGTCAATAGTCCTGCATGGCAATCACTGAGTAGTGACGCCCTGCAGGTATTTTCCACTTTCTCTCCAGCCCCTTCATTTCTGTACCCTGCCTGGTGGGGACATCCGGGTCTACAGACCTTGCACCTGCCATGCTTTAACACAACAGCATATTGTTATTATAGTGCCAACATGAGTTGTGTCTAGAAACAGGAATAGCATTTGTTCTTTCCAGTGATTCACACAGGCCGGAAGTCAAGCCAGGCTCTCCTCGGCCTTCAGTGGAGAACACGAAACTTACAGGTGAACAAAAGAGGGGAAAGCATGGATGAATGTTGGAGCTGGGAACAAGCTCGGTGTCTTTTTGGCAAGGGGATCAGCTGGGTCCGAGCCTTACTGTGGAGAGCCTTACGGGCCAGGCTGAGGGCGGGAGGCTAACAACAGCAGTTCTTAGAAGCTTTTGTACAAGAGGAGCAACTAGCTCCTGGAATTTAACTCTTATACAAGATAAACAGAAAAGAACTATTTCATTTTACACTTTCCAAAAGAAGTGGAATCTACCAAGATAGTGTCTACTTACTTTAAGTGAACTTCAGTCTGGGAATGTATTGCTTCTCCCAAAACATTCCCAGCTTCATCCACCACAGCAGCTGCCGTATCGTCACAACTGGTCTCAATTCCCAACACGACTTTGTGCAGAAATGCTTTCCCAGGATGAAAATTGGAACTTCTTAAATACTCATAAATTTTCCTTTTTGATGGTTTAGAAAAAACTCCTGCTGCCTTATTCAATATTAGCATGCTTGCTCTATTGATAGTTCCTGGAAAAGAATGAAAGGAACAAACTAAGTATCATTCGGAATTGGCGTCAGCCACTCGGCCATTCAGTTAAGCAAAAATTCTGAAAGCCTGGTTTATTTTTTAATGTGTAGTTTTATAAAATTATAGGAAAGTCTTATAAAAGTCGGCAGAAAAATTTAAAGCAACTTGTTATATAATTTATACTATAATATAAATAACTGTGAATGAATGTAATACTTTTTAAGGGGGAAAATAGGGAAGTCAGAGGTAACATTTTTTGGGATTACTGTTACTCTCATGCTGTTCTTACCAAACCCTTCTTTATTCTTTATAAAACAGCTAATATTACAGTATAACAGTTGCATGGAATAGTCCTCCGGAAAGTGCTATTTATTTCTGTGACTGCTAACATTAAAACAAAATGTGGGTGTGTTTTTTTTTAAAAAATAATATCAAATGATAAAGGTAAAATGGATCAGTAAAAATAAATGCATCCTATTTCCTGGAAACATCTTTCAAAATAAAATGTAATCATTTGCAAAAACAGCAGACACACAAAATAAGCTTTAGTCAGCTAGTTTACAAACAAGTGTTCTCATAACGTCATCTCATATGAACCATATCTCGACTAAAGAAACTGCAACCGCCTACCTTTTACCCACTAGTTACAACTTTTCGAATTAAATTTACCTTTTTGCTAGAGGTTTATCACAACAGGGATGTCCCAAAAATCCTGTTTCCCAACACAGCAGCAGTCCATCACCAACGCCCCCTGGCGGTGCCACTCTGCCACGTACCTAGTTTCATGTTCCCAGATCACCTGAAACTCTCTGGGGGCTGCCCTGGCCGGTTGCTCAGTGGTTAGAGCACCGCCTGGGGGACTGAAGGGCCCAGGTTCGATTCTGGTCAAGGACACCTCCCTCAGTTGCGGTCTGGGCGGGGGTAGGAGGCAGCCAATCCGTGTGTGATGTTTCTCTCTCTTTCTACTTCTCTCTCTAAACGTCAGTGGTAAATATCGTCCGGCGAGGATTAACAAAACAAACAAAACCACTGCAGAACGTGCTGGGCGT